GGGGGCAACGCTCATGTCTCAGAAGGGACAGCTCCTTCAGGACCACTTACCATCACTAGTGGCCTGAATCGGACAAAGCCATCACTGTTGGTACGTGGCTGGGAGACAATGCCTTCCATGTATGCCTCAAGTACTGCACTCAAAAAGTCTCTGTGCTCTTGTCAACCTTTAGGATCAATGCTATTCTGCTGGGGTTGAAGGCCAATTAATGTAAGCCGTGATGAATATGTATGCCAAACTCAGGGTTAACCCAGTGCCTTGTATACAGAGACACCAGATCCCCACTACAGTCAGGAAGGTTAACCCAGTGCCTCGTGTACAGAGACACCAGATCCCCACTACAGTCAGGAAGGTTAACCCAGTGCCTCGTGTACAGAGATACCAGATCCCCACCACAGTCAGCAAGGTTAATCCAGTGCCCCGTGTACAGAGACACCAGATCCCCACTACAGTCAGCAAGGTTAACCCAGTGCCTTGTATACAGAGACACCAGATCCCCACTACAGTCAGGAAGGTTAACCCAGTGCCCCGTGTACAGAGACACCAGATCCCCACTACAGTCAAATGAACATCTGTCGAGGCCATAAGAGTGAGGCCCAACAACCAACGAGAGGGCTGTGTGTGAGCAAACCCTGACCCTTCACTGCCTACATTGAGATATGTAAGTCCCCTGTGACAGCCAACACAGACATGTGTACCAGCTGAGATGGGTAAGTCCCTAACCCTAGTCTCTGAGCTAAGTCTAACCCTATGACAGCTACAGAGCTGTGTTCGAGGGGTAAGACATGGCTGGCTGCTCCCACACCAGTGATGCCACACTGGCCACACTGGCCACAGTGATACACGGATGAGTATAGACACAGAACAATCATCTGCTCTAACATGCACACGGCGCTCCATCACTGCTTCAGCTACTCTCTACAACACACACGTCTCCTAGAGTCTGGCCCCGTCCCACAAACTGATCCTAGCACTGTGACTGTCCCTCCTTCCTTCATGTAGCTACTCTCTACGACACACACGTCTCCTAGAGTCTGGCCCCGTCCCACAAACTGATCCTAGCACTGTGACTGTCCCTCCCTCCTTCATGTAGCTCCTCTCTACAACACACGCGTCTCCTAGAGTCTGGCCCCGTCCCACAAACTGATCCTAGCACTGTGACTGTCCCTCCCTCCTTCATGTAGCTACTCTCTACAACACACGCGTCTCCTAGAGTCTGGCCCCGTCCCACAAACTGATCCTAGCACTGTGACTGTCCCTCCTTCCTTCATGTAGCTACTCTCTACGACACACACGTCTCCTAGTTGACAGAGCGTGAGGGAGTTTCGACAGTTGTAGAGCAAAAACCGCTAACCGGATGTGGAACATTGCCCAGGTGTATTACTGGTCAACAAACTCAAGAAAACCCTCAGTTTCTCACTCAACCTCACTTAACAGGCTAAGGCTGGGCTGCCACCTAAACTGTAGGGTGCTCTGTGCTGAATGAGCAGATTGTAAGGGCGTATGCACCTGGTTCTTTTGGTAAGAATTTTAAAAAAAATAGCAGTAATTTTGCTTGAATGTATGTAGAACAACAAAAAGCTTGTATAAATCATTTTTCAATTTATTTCGCAATTAACTGCATGGGCTGCGTATCAAATTTCTGAACAGGACTTTCTTAAATCTGTCTCTCAGTAATACTACATGTTGACCCAACCAATACGGTTATCATAAGTATTTTAATCATATACATACTACAGTTGATATTTGGATTAATAAATTTAGCAAGTAGCCTAACATTTATAAATAGCAAGGAATATGTAAATAAAATGTTCACAGCGATGAATGCAATATAAGCTAATTCAAGTGAATTAAATGCTATCAATATTCAGATCTTAGTGTGTAAGGTAACATAATTAATATTCAGATCTGGTACTGAACGTGTCCCGAGAAGCCATGGAGTTTGTACATCATAATATCAGGTGAGAGGTTACTTCCTCAACAGAAATACAATGCCGGCAATCGGGCAGTATTTAAATGGTGAAAATCATTAAGTCTTAAATCATAGAAAATGTAGTGTGAAAGGTTCAAAATTTGTCATTCTATTTGATGACTTACAACCGAACACAAACAATGACAATAAATTAATACTGTTTATCATAAACATTGAAATTGTTATTTAGAATGACATTCTTTGCCATTTACTGTTACATCAACTGATATTGAAATATGACCTTTTGGCTAGAAAATATCATGACAAATCACTGAATATTAATGCATACCAATGCTGCCTACACATTAAGTCTTTTCAGAATGGTGTGCCATTTTCTCCTTTCCTACTGGTGAATCTCATGGTGTCATACATTTTAAGATCACTTCAGTCATTTAGGTAGGCCCTAAAGAGTTATCCCCCTTTGACCATCTTTTGGGCATGAAACATTGGGTAAGCTTATACCAGAGACCATACAAAAGTATGTGGTCTCTGTTTATACATATCAATGTTAATGAAAACCTGGTTTAATGATTACTGGTAAGTTTATAAATTTTCCAATAAACTTGATAATTTTCCCGTATTTACATATAACTGAAGAGATAAATTAAGTACCAATAATATTTGTTTCTCAAATGACAACTAGTAGTAGCAATGTCATATATTGAGCCGGCCTTTTGGGTCATTAATGTCCTTCTTGTACGAAATAACAAAAGATAATGAGTTGTCTCCCTTTCATAATGACATCATCGGTGCTAGAAATTGCAATGTTTCGATACACAAAGTTTCATTTGATTTCATGATTGTCCCGATGATGCATTACAGTTCATTTCAATCGAATCACAGACAATCTTTCTTGTGGTACTTAATTCATCTGTCGTGGTACTTAATTCATCTGTCGAGGCACTAGAATTGTAAGGATGAATGATAAGAAGTAATTAAATACTGATTAGCATAGTCAATACCTATTATTTATTAAAGTCAGTGAGTTTGATCAGCTTTAGTCATACTGATATATTTAAAGCTGAGAAAAAATACTGTAAGATTCACACAAAATATCACCAAAAACTGAACAATAATATCAGTATTTGTACGATGTTTCGAATTCGATATTAACTTTTGTGTGACTCTGCCATTGGGCAGTACCCATATTATCAACGTGGAATCACAAGAGCATGATGCATGAGCTCAGCTTTGGTCCCTTTTCTATGAAACGAGTATTGTATCACAAATTTTCATGACTGTCTTATTTACAGCTGTTCACATCACCTGGACCAGAGCACGGAAAGCTCTGGCGCTACGAGAACTTACATATTCTGCTATTACATATTTCATTAATCTTTGACGTGTGAATAATCTCTGCAATGTGTCGCCATGAAGTTGATATTCATTAAGTGTCATGTTTAATATCCTAATAAGAAGTACTCATTAGTTCCATAAGCTGAAACAAAAACACAAATATTCTGCCATTTTGAAATACAGATTCTTGAGATTCAATGACATCCTTCTTGACTGTGAATCTGTTCCAGCTAAGGGACCGGTCACTTACTGTAAGCAGAGGTCATAATAATAATAACACACATAATTGGGGAGGGTCTTGGAAAAATGGACACTTGATAATAAAACAATAGAGCTTTTACCTTTTGTCATTTCAGGAGGGTCATGAAAAAAATGTTCAAGGATACTGGGAGGGTCATCCAAAAATATGACAAGCATAAGGGGAGGTTACTGCATCAAAAACCTCTGATCCACCCCTGTAATAAATGACCGGTCCCTAATGTCTCCAATACACTGAATATTAAAGGTACCCTCCCACCAGACTAAAGGCCCTGGATGTGTCACCATGGCAACACCAGGGCCCACCTTCATGCAAATTGCGCCATACCATGATGCTGTTAATGTTGCTACGACTTATCACCACCAACACAGACAGGACAATCAACAGTGAAATCAGAAACGATGACACCCATTCACGCTCACAGTTCAGCAGTCACAGAAACAAGTACATCCTACAATGGTAACCATAAAACTGTTGTAACATTTAAAACTAGAAATCTAACACAGCTCTGCCGATTAACTGCTTCTAATGTGCAGAGACTCATAAATCTTCAATCTTCCATATAAAACACAACTCAAGTGGCATGTATTAAAAAAAAAAATAACTGGCATTTATAACATAGAAAATGGTGACAGTTTGACAACTGCAGACATGCATCAACATTCAACAAGGCAACAGAAAGTATGGGTGGCTGGTGTAGCAACGAGGTCACGTGACAGTGGTCACATGATCAGTGAAAGACAGGTCATGCATTAAGTAATGAATGATGATTGGTTAGTAATGGTTGATATGGAAACAGGTGGTTGTTATGGCAACTATGGACATGCACTCTGGGTTGAGCCTGCATCAGATTTGGTATTACAAACGATGGTGACGAGACATGCAAGATGATGAAATTTGATGTTTCACAAAACACTTCAGGCATACACACCAAAAATAAATTAAAAAATATTGGCATAGAATCACATGCATTCAAAGCACATTATGACTATATCTTCGATGGCAGCAAAATAATCGTTGCATGGTATTCAAAAAGTCTGCAGTTTTGTTGAAGCATGTCAAGAATTTTACATAAAAGTCTGATTGGCAAAAATTGCAATTAACCCTGAATTGTCATGTCCTGTTGTTTGTCATGATTAATACTAGGCATGGTCAAAGCCAAACATAAAGTCAACACAAGTAATGCAGGCACAGTCTTGTCTATTGAAGTGGTAGAGTCAGTTGGCATCAACTAGAAACAGCGTTATTTCATTCACATGGCAACTGAAAATCAAAAATTGGGTTGGAGGCTAAGAGCAGCAGGTAAAACACTGCACACAGAGAAACCAGTGGGTTCGAGGCTATGATTATTGCAGCCAATCACAGCACACCATTGAACTTATGACCTGTCCTCCATCTGACCGTGAAAGAAGTGTTTACACACACACGACCCCGAGATCCACACCAGCCAGCCCAACAATGGCTGACTCTCACCTTAGTGTGGAGTTTGACGGGTTGAAGGTCTTTTTAATGGGCTCACATTTCATACGCTGCAGCGGCTGGTAGACTTTATGCTGTGCAGCTGCAGCACTCTGGATTTGTTGTGCACGGAACGACATCGATTGCACATATTGCACTCCGGGACCATGACTCTTGACTGTCTGGAAGGAGCTGGTCACCTCCCGCGTCCCGCCATACTGTGGATGGTCCCCTCCTCCAGGATGCTGCTGCTGCTGCTGCTGCTGCTGCTGGCCGTACATCACTGGGGCGTGGCCCACAGACACTGAGGATGTTGTCGAATAGGTTGGGGATTGGGGGGTACAAGCCCGATATGGACTAGAGGGGTGGACTAGGTTAGAACTGGACTGGAACTGGCTGGACCCCGAATGATGTGATGTTTCATCTATGTTTCCACTATCTGTGGAGTGTTGTGAAGGAGTGCTGGCCCGAGAGATGCGTTCAGTTCCTATTAACTGTCTCTGGTAATGTTCTATCAACCGTTGACGCCGTAAACGTTCACTATATTTGTAAAAGTCTGCCATTTCATATGGCTTACTGACTTCCATATGGGGTTGAAGTCGCGTGACAGTCACAAGAGAACTCGATTGTGGTGATGGCTGAGACTCTCGAACCCTCGCATTACCACTTTGGTCACTTGGGGCAGGGTACACATATCTCTCCGACCTCGTATACGATCCCTCAAACCCACGCGGGCTGTAACACTGATCAACATGAGGACTCTCAGATCTGCCAGCATTGTCTTTCCGTTCTGGTTCTGGGCTACGTACAATTGGTGACGGATCCGTCGGCGCAGCCTCCTGCCAGAAATGCTTTTCACTATAATAAGTCTGTCCATCACCACGGTTACCACTATGCTCCTCATGATGCACTGGCACCTCGACCATGATGCTACTCCGGTGTGATGGCGGATCGTACTCATACTCAGTCTGTGATTCACGTTTACTCCCAAATCGTGATGGCGTCAACTCGGGCAGGTTGGGATCATTCCCAGGATGCTCCTGTCTCGTGTTGCGTTCCAAGCTGTTATATTTCTGTTGAGCTTTCCGATAAGCTCCGTCGAGACTGCCATGCTTCGACGGCAGATTGAGCCTGTCGTCTAACACCCCGTCGCCCTGGTAGTTGGGGTTTGCTGTTGTCTTGAGGTGGTCGGTGCTCTCGTAGTGGGAGGTGCGCTGGGAGTTGATGTTGTACATGTTGTTGGCCGAGCTGAAGCCGCTGTCCAGACTACCTTCCAGCCGCCCAGCATGCTTCATGTTGTCATACTCCGACTGATTGCTGGAAGAAGAACGACTCCGGCTGTTGAGTGTGGGATACATCTGACTGCGGTACTGCGTGCGGGTAGCGTACACGCTGCTGGCCAGGTAGCCACCACACAGCTGGGGACTGCAGAGAGAAACAATGCACAAGGTACAGACGGACGCACGGACAGCCGCACAGCCAGTTAGAGGTTAGAGGAAGCCAGGCAGGTGTGTTAGGGAGAGGCATGCTGTCAGTATGTTAGGTGTATATTTTGTGGATATGGTTAGAATATAAGGTATACCATTGGAAAAGAAATATCACTGGGATTGTTCATAAGGGGTGAAATGATTGCACTATAATAACATACATACAGTTAAACACTGTTGTGTCAAAGTTGAAGGGATCCAATGATTGACATCATGAGCATCGATCCACGCATTTGGGATACGATGACATGCATCAAACCAAGTCAAGCCTGACCACCCGATCCCGTTAGTCGCCTCTTATGACAAACATAGTTGGCTTTTATGGGAAGTATTGCTTGCTGAAGACCTGTTCTGACCCAGATCGTCACAGGTGGTTTGACACATCAAAGTTTGACACAAAAGAGTTTGACTGTATCATGATCTTGTTTGCAAAATATGCTTAAACAATCATGTAGATTTTATCAGAATGACTCCATGTAATCTTAGTATTTTTGTAAGCATATGAATGGTAAAAAGAACTGTACAAAATGCTAATATCCATCAGTTGGATAACTTTCGTACTCCTTTTTTTTTAACAGCAAAACCATATAAAAAACAAGAAACAATTTCACTAATTCTGAAAATATAATATTGTTTCATACCTGAAAAATGTGTCGATTCTTACAATGATTTTGATATTATTGAAAAAATAATAAACTGCTATCCATCATGTCACACCCCTACTGTTTGTAGGACAAGTTATTTCAAAACCAGTTATGTTATGATTATGATGAAAGGGTATATCATGATTGTTGTGAATAAAGGCTCGGGTGTAGTCAGCAAAAAGGAACCGATACTTACAGTGTTTGATGAACAAGGTAGAACACATATCGTGGGGTTTTCTATGTAGGTTATTAGAACAAGCATACTACAGGGGGATCTGGATGCCAGGGTGGTGATATGGGAAGATGTTCATTGTCAGGGTGGTGCTCATTGCCAGGGTAGTGATGCTGGGGTGTGATGCTCTTTGTCTGGGTAATGATGTGGGGTGTGATGCTCTTTGTCAGGGTGGTGATGTGGGGTGTGATGCTCTTTGTCTGGGTGGTGATGTCAGGGTGATGCTCATTGCCAGGGTAGTGATGCTGGGGTATGATGCTCTTTGTCAGGGTGGTGATGTGGGGTGTGATGTTCATTGTCAGGGTGGTGATGTCAGGGTGATGCTCATTGCCAGGGTAGTGATGCTGGGGTGTGATGCTCTTTGTCTGGGTAATGATGTGGGGTGTGATGCTCTTTGTCAGGGTGGTGATGTGGGTGTGATGCTCTTTGTCTGGGTGGTGATGTGGGTGTGATGTTCATTGTCTGTATGGTGATGTCGGGGTGTGATGATTATTGTAATGTTGATGTAACTGTAAGTCTGTTACAGACATTTATGCATTATTAGGTCAACGTTTGTGTGTTATTCAACTCCGCACTCTGCAATATTCCAGCTATGATGACGGCGGTCTGTAAATAATCGAATCTGGACCAGACAATCCAGTGATTGACATCATGAGCATTGATCCACGCAATTGGAATACAATGAGCTGAATCAACCAGGGTGAATGAGTAAGTGGTGCAAGCAAACAGTGTAAATGTGTTTAAGATTGGGGGATGAAGTCTTGGAAAAGAGAAGAGAGTTTGGATCAACAGAAGATGATAAAGGATTGACATGAACATGGACATGATGAAGGATGAGATTTTGTATGGATGACAAGATTTGTAAGACCTGCATGACTGGATAAGGGGGATCTTATGATGATAAGGGTGGGAGATACACTGACACAATGAAAACACAGAGTCACGTTTTCAAGAATCAGACAAGAAGGGTTTTGTGCTCAAGTCCATCTCAAAACACATCAAATCAGATTCAAACCTGAAGGACATTGCTGTTTGATTATCTCATGCCTAAATACACAGAACAACTTATAATGAATTTTGTGGCCATTTTACAATTGAATATGCGTTTTCAAAGTGGGTCAATATATATGTTCATGAGGAAGTGGGATGTCATAATAATAAAAGGAAGGAGTACAGGATGAAGGTAAAGATAAAGGATACAAGTATATGATGAAGTTCATGAAGATGAAGGAAGAGAAAGATGAAGGGAAGGACTATGCAAGCAAGCAGTGAGATGAAGACTGTGTTAGAGAGGGGGGTGATGGTTAGCCTGGGGGTGGTGGTTAGCCTGGGGGTTAAGTAGAAAGCTCCACTGCCCAGACAGCTAAGGGACGCTAGTAAACTGTGCACAATCTCCAGTTCTGCAGTCAGGTTATCAAACACTCAACATGTTAACAACATTATCCAAAATTTGAAAAACAAGCATTCTGCAATGAGAAACAGGCAAAATTAGTGTCTATCTTAATATTCATTTGATCACAGCACAATTATGTAAAGTGAGGCATACTATCATTTTCTTTTTGGAAATTATAAAATCACATTGAAAACATGATAATTCCAGTATGCGCTTACAGTTTTGCACTGACTATAGGTATTCAGTTGTATGAGATGAAAGAGCATGCATTATGACATATACATAGTTATACTTCCATCACCAGTGGGAGAATATTAAAAGCATATATACATATATTGTACAAAAAGAAATGTTTTAAAAACTTCAATATTTTTATATCTTTAATCACAAAAAAAAGTGAAAAATAACATTCCAGTTGTTAAATTTTGGAATAAAATATTATTTTTGTGTTTAACGCAGCACTAGCAATATTCCAGCTATATGACAGCGAATTAATTAATAGATCAATTATTTATACGAGGGAGTTTTGGATATAGAGTTAAAAATTTGATTTACTGTATCAACAAATTGAGTTATTTACATAAAATTAAATAAAAAGCAATATTTTTCAGTACATGAAACACTTTTCACCAAAACAAAATCACGTTGGATGAATAACTGGCAAACCCATTTCAACATGACAGAAGGGAGACAACTGTGGGTGTCTTGAGCCTGGCTGTCAGTACATACCTGCTGTGACTAGGGCTGAGGGTGACACTGTGAGTGTCCTGAGCCTCGCTGTCAGTACGTACCAGCTGTGACTAGGGCTGAGGGTGACACTGTGAGTGTCCTGAGCCTCGCTGTCAGTACGTACCTACTGTGACTAGGGCTGAGGGTGACACTGTGAGTGTCCTGAGCCTCGCTGTCAGTACGTACCAGCTGTGACTAGGGCTAAGGTGACACTGTGAGTGTCCTGAGCCTCACTGTCAGTACATACCTGCTGTGACTAGGGCTGAGGGTGACACTGGGAGTGTCCTGAGCCTCGCTGTCAGTACATACCTGCTGTGACTAGGGCTAAGGTGACACTGTGAGTGTCCTGAGCCTCGCTGTCAGTACGTACCAGCTGTGACTAGGGCTGAGGGTGACACTGTGAGTGTCCTGAGCCTCACTGTCAGTACATACCTGCTGTGACTAGGGCTGAGGGTGACACTGGGAGTGTCCTGAGCCTCGCTGTCAGTACATACCTGCTGTGACTAGGGCTAAGGTGACACTGTGAGTGTCCTGAGCCTCGCTGTCAGTACGTACCAGCTGTGACTAGGGCTAAGGGTGACACTGTGAGTGTCCTGAGCCTCGCTGTCAGTACATACCAGCTGTGACTAGGGCTGAGGGTGACACTGTGAATGTCCTGAGCCTCGCTGTCAGTACGTACCAGCTGTGACTAGGGCTGAGGGTGACACTGTGAGTGTCCTGAGCCTCGCTGTCAGTACATACCTGCTGTGACTAGGGCTGAGGGTGACACTGGGAGTGTCCTGAGCCTCGCTGTCAGTACATACCTGCTGTGACTAGGGCTGAGGGTGACACTGTGGGGGATAGGTTGGGGAGGGACGAGGTTGTCCTCATCCGGGGGACGCTGCTGCTGGTGGAATGACTGAGAAGAGATTGGAGGCCGCTCTATCACATTTCCCTGAAAAAAAAACCCACCAACAATACATTCATCATTCATGTGTAAACCTCTTGAAGCTAAATAGGGCTTATTTTCACTCTCAACCACAACATTGTTTCACCTAAAATTCATTATTTTTAAACCCAATGAACATTTTCTGTATCATTTGAACACACTTAAAAACAATATAATGTTACATGTCCACTAGTTCACTTGGTACTACAATTTCGCCAAGTGCATGTTGACATGAAAACCTACTTGCACCAAATGCATGTTGACATGAAAACCTACTTGCACCAAGTGCATGTTGACATGAAAACCTACTTGCACCAAGTGCATGTTGACATGAAAACCTACTTGCACCAAATGCATGTTGATATGAAAACCTACTTGCACCAGACGAAACCAGATTTCAAACAGGTCCAATAAATTTAATAAAATAATAAGAAAATAGTTTTAAAAAAGTTTAAACGAAGCCATGACAGATGCATAAACTAGTCGAAATAAATAAAAGTTCAGATCCCTGAAGACTATGTCATTATTTTACATAACTGAATGATGTCCTGCTGCAAAACAATAATAGGAACATGTGCAAAAATTACATCAAGCCCAAGACAGCAAGACAAATTATACATAACCCAGGGATTAGTGATGTAGTATGGTATTTAAAGCTTAGATGTATTGAGTGTGTTTAAAGATCATTGTTGGGAAATGTGAGCTTTAATCAGACACAGATTTGAATGTTTTTTACATACATTTGGTGCATGAAGACACAAATATTAGGTTACACTTTTCAAAACTAGGTTGCACTGGTGCAGGTATTATACAAGTAAAGTCAAGCCCTGTATAACTATGTATCAGCTATTGTTAGAGCTTCCCAAATCTCCCACCTGAGGGCGCTGTGCAGGCTGTGCAGGCTGTTCACGCTGGTAACGCTGAACCGGGGGCGACTGAGCAGGAGACACAATCTCTGAATCTGCAACCATCAGAAGAATGCCACCTTTAAAATCAGCACAAATCCTCAATACAGGCAGAGCACGATGACCTTATTTTTAGTTCACAAAATACATATCGTCTCCTGTTCTATGAAAGTAATTTCAAATTCTAATCAAAATCAAGGGGGGGTAACTCACATGCATTTGAACAATTATCACTACGATTTTATCAATGCCCATGCACTAACATTCAAATCTTTAGAATATTCGCATAAATCTGCAATTTGTCGTGGATTGTCATTTACTGAAAACCATTGTCCATACAAAAAATAGTATCAGTCTTGGTAAAAAAAAATGGTGAAACTACATTGCAATGCTAAAGATATTTGAAACTAAATATATTCAAATTTAACAATTTAAAATAATAATTGAAATTATAAAATATATTTAGATCTCAATTAGAAACGTGTATTTAATGAGAAATGCATTCCTTATTGGGTATACATGCAATGAATTGACACAGGTGGGATAAAGAGATCATTACTGTTGCTATGGAAATTGCAAACGTTACAGAATTGTTTTAGGGTGTGTGCGCTTGATATATATGGTGTCAACATGTTACAGTCCATGCAGAACAAAGACAATGCTTCCAGTTTAGATCCATCTTTGGCCATGCATTAGCAACTTGGCAAACTCAAATGAAAAATGAAAGTATTATGCTCATTAGCTGAAAATGAATACGTGGGTGGGAATTAGAGGCAAAATATAAAAATATGACTCCATGTTATCATTGTACCATGCAGCACGATATTGTACAGTGTTCTTTGTCCAATTTAGTGTATTGAAACTATTCTGCCCTCCAAGCATAAGATCATATTTACATTTAGACTTCTTAAAAGAAATGAATGATTTTTTTACAAGCAAAAAGCTAGTTTCTTTTAGAATTCAAATCTGAAATGGACAAGATTATTGTAACATTGTTAATATTATTAAAATTTATTTTAACCTTAAAATATTCTTTCATGTTCATTTAATTAGTTTTGAAGCATGTGATTTTAATACTTTTTGTAATTCGCAGAACACTGTACAAGGTGTTTATTACAGCAACACTGAAACACACTCCCGACTCAACGTATGTGCAGTCGGTATACACAGTACTGACGTACCACTATCTGTTAAGGGGAGACTATCCTCGCTTTGTGCTGCAAACGGGAGGGAAATTGGGGAAAATGACTGTTAGTTACACATACCACACGTTGCAAACACATCACTGTACATCTCACCGTCAGACAAACAACAGTGAACCAACATATACACAGGCAGTAAAAGACAAGAATACTATGGCTGAAATATCTTCAGGAGCAAACACCGCCTTTCACAAGTTACACAGCTGAGATGACAAAGTTCTGTTTGACTGTTGAGATTTTAGGAGTGCTTCCAGCTATAGCTGATTTTGCAAATGAAATGGCATGCAACACTTTTATTGAGCAATATTTCAGCTATATGAACTTTCACTGTATGAACACCAGGAATTATGGTTACTTAACCCATTGAATCCTGGGGTGATGGGATTTGAGTGAACATACCAATGCCTTACTTGCCACCCTCGCTAATATACATAAAACTGGCTATTACATTGGAGACAAATTCTCGTAAAATGTCCCTTGTACCTTAAATAAGAAATGTTGTCTTTATCTATATTTTTCCCATTTCAATATATGACGAACACTAAAACACTTAATCCTGATCCTGATATTAATAGCTCCATGATGCTGTTGACCAGCTAGTAGACGCTGTTGTACAGTAGTTCCAGCTGTTGTACAGGAGGACCCATGACACATTTATTGGACCTTATCAATCTCGTCTCCCATGTACACACATCATACAAGATAACATGCGCAGAATACACAGCAACGCAAGAGATTTGACGTTTGACAGTCTGACATTCCACTTGGCCTGTCTCGCACAACAATTGAGGTCTTTCTAATTGCTGAGACTGTCACGGTTGAGTGGATGGTACACAAACCAACAGTCGCGCCTGACTGGTCCCATGTTACTGGTCCAAGTCTATCCCCCATTAATCTACACCTGTGTGTGAGAACCTTTTGACATGTTGTTGTAGCACCTACACACAACACGTCTGTTCAATTGTTAGCAACAATATATCAATTACATCTCGAGACAACAATTACCGAGAAGTAAGTGCATGTTGAAAATATTGTTTTTCCTTTGAAAGGGAAGGTTAAACCGTGTTTCATTGTAATAATTAAAAGGTGACAGTGTTTGTTGGATGACAGATTTTCAATCACAATCATCTGTCCTAATTATATGACTGGAAAAACAAAATTTGACATGTGAGCATCGATCAAGGATGTGGATGTGACTGTGGCAGGACCTCTACTCTGCACCAGGCTCACCAATACTGAAGTCTGTATTCATGGAAAACACAACATTGCATGGACTCGTTACAATGCTGAATCCCCTTGGAAGCTGGTTCACACCCACTCATGCAGTAAAGCTACAGCTACATTAAAACTAAATAAAAAGCCATGCAAATCATAAATGTGACCCTGGCCTTGGGTGGTGCAAATGACACAGAAACAAGGAAACAAAAACGAAAATAAGGAAACATAAAATTTTATTACAAAAATAAATAAAATGCTTGTACATTATCATGCCACATAAAACATAAAGAGATAAATGCATTGCTAACACTGAGACTGCGGAAATCCCCATCAGATATAAATTAATATCTGACTGGAATAAGTTAAGGAGTAGGACTACATGCCATTGGGATTCTGACCCCCTGGAAGACGACGCATACAGATCATTTATATAATGCTGAGAACTCTGTATCTACCTGAGATATTTAACAAGCAGGTAAATGACGTTTAAAATTTGGAAGACACAGATAAGTATGCAAACAAAATGAAAACAAAGAACAAGTGCATGGCAACAACAAAACAATCACACAAACACCTCAAACGCTGCCATACATGCATACAGTTCATTTACTTCGGACACCATGCAATATGTCAGTGGCATACTCACGACACTGTAATGTTACAGACACCATGCATACATTTTCTATTACGCTCTTGACCCACCGTGAACACCATGCATACAATCACAAGTACATAATCTGAGGCGTCCTGTCACGATTACATCACACTGTCACCATGCACTCCATGCATCAATCATCCACACTATACTACATTATGCACTGATATGCATGAGACATCTTGCAAAAGCACCATGTAATGCTGTGAGAGCTGTACAATAACAAGTGACCCTATAGTCTTTGGGATATTCAGCATTGCTTCAAGTCCATGTAATGTTAAAAACACGTCCCTGTCCATGATTAAAGGAAGCCTATCACTACAATGCCATCTTCCCCAGCACCATCTTGCTCTTCCTGAGTATCCATCCTCAGACCTGGCTTTCCTTCATGGGTGCTTTGGGTACACTAAGACTCTTCTCCAGGAGGTACTGATGCCAAGAAGCTCGCGCCCCAGTCAAAAAACTACCATCCACATCCTCATCTTCGTCAGACTCCTCAAAAAGTGTCTCATCACTGCAGGATTCAACAAACGACTTGTGACGGAAGGATCGTGTTGAGCTGTTGCGGGGAAACCACAGAGAGTGCGATGCACGGCTGTCAAACTCTCTAACGGGGTAAAGCATTTCGTCACTGAGGGAATTGGACAGCCTAGGGTGCACGTGGAGATACGTACCATCATACGTGGAGGACGCTGCTCGCAGTCCAACCTTCCCCGCCATGCGCTTCATTTCATTGAGTTTCTTCTCCATATCCTTGAGCTGAAATAACAAACAATCTGGTCAAAGCAGTGCATCATTCATTTGGGATGGTACACCCAAGATAACATGCTTTCATATTACATAACAGGGACATACTTAGATCTGCTCAGAGACCCCAAGTCTGCAGCAAAGGTAAAAATTCCCAGTTTTGAGTCCCTATACCTCAGAATGTATGTAAGAAAAAACGGTAATCCAATTTCCAAATTTGTCTGCTAATGGCATTTAGTTTGGAATCCTTGATGGAATCCCTGCATAATTGCTTTCAACTGTACAGCAGTTCCAACTGTATTGATTTGTAGAACAGTCTTACAAGGTTTTTCCGGGTATCCCTGATTTCTCAGGACCGTCTGAGGGTTATGACAAGGATCCATTGATTTTCGTTCACAACTTCCGAGGACATAACAGATCAAAGACCATATAGCCCCTATCTCATTCTTCCTAAGGCCAAGTCTACGTCTAGCCAATGCATACCTTCTGTAGAGCTCTGTTGTAGGACTGCCGCCTCTGTTTGCGCACATTCTTGCCTACAGCCTTGTCCTGGGCCAACTTGTGAGCTGCGCTGGTGATCTTACTCTGCAGCTCGTACTCCAGCTCCATCTTCGCCAACTGGTCCTCGCGCTGTAACACAAGGTCAAGGTCAGATGTGTCCACAACAAAGTGTTCCACAGAGAACAATCAAGACTTGGCAACTAGCAATATCAATTTCAAGTTGTAGCAATGCTTGTTGTTTATGTACATTGTTACTATTTCCATTTTGAAAACCAAATACATAACAAAGAGGCCAACCTCATCTGTGCCGCTGACCGCCTTGGCTGAGAGGGAGAAGGACGTCCCCACCCTCCTCCGGAAGGTGGGGATCTGCTCCCCTGGAGCAAGGGGGGTCTCTTTGGGCAGCTCCCCAGTCAGTTCCTGGAAAACATACATCAGTTTAGTATTATAGTAACAACATGATCTACACGTTTTGTGCCTCAGGCAACTTTCTGTATCAATTTCAGAAGCTGTCAATATATGGACTATTATTTGCTGAGTTTACTTGACCAAAACATTTATGAGTAGTCTTAAATTTTATCAGGACACATACAACAGGATAATATCAACGACTGATGGTTCAACCTACCCCTTCCTGGAAGCATAGTCTCTTCAACTCTTCTGTCTTCTTCCTCAGGGTCTCCTCCAACGCCTCCTTCCTCGCACGCAACGCTTGGTACATCTCACGCTGGGCCTTGATCGAATCTGTCTGCTCGATATTCACTGAAATAGACACACAACATAAGTCTACGATAATCACTGAAATACAAACAAAATAGTCTCCCAGAATCTCTGAAATAAAACAAACGCCCAGTAATCTTCGAAAAAATACAACACACACACACAGAAACACTGATGGTTAAAAAATCAACCTTTGTCAGTCATGACTATGTTCCAACATGAAATGAGGAAATACTGCAAATATTCAGGAAGGGACAGTGGTTTATGATGCACAGGATCTGTCATCATCCCACAGCAACTCGATAAGTACCTTCCTTGACACTCTCATGACAGCTACACATCTCAATACACACATCGTAGACACAAAACACAGATCTCCTAAACTAGAAACACAAGTATAACACAGGCATAAATGTAAACTACAAAAATAAAACATCAACCTAGCATCTTTCCAGTGTCCCACGATAACTGGCTCAGATAAACTCAGACACTTCCCACAGGCAAGATTTACATAGCTGTCATTCTTAGCTGTAAACACCACGTTGCCCATTCAATGACAGTATTGAATTCATAGCATAGCTTTTTTCAATGGGAAAAGGGTAGGGCCCTCCTCGATCAATCGAGTCATCTACCCATGACACAGACGTGACCTCATTGCGTCTACATTACCTTCAAACATTGTGTATGCCCTCCTACACCCACATGTCTCAAGCAGATCACATGTACTCCGGCTTACGGGTTACGAATATATACACAGGGAAGTGGATGGTGGTCCAGCCACAAAGGGTTCACCCTAGCCTGAATCAGCCTCATCATGGATGCCAGCAGGGAGAGTCTGCTTCGTGCACATTGTGTACAGTCAAGTGCAGAAAATCAATAGCTTCTATATGCTGCAGAGTGGTGATGTCATACGGCAGGAAAAAATAGCTGGGAATGTGGGATTAGGAGACTGCCAGGAAATACCTGGATATCGTGGATAATTCCTGCCAGATCAATATTCTGCAATAACCTAGGAAACATGCCCTTAGCATGAATACTTCTCATAAACTGGATAATTAATCCAATCTGCTCCACAGAGCCAACAGCAAGATGAGAACATGGCCACATAACATGGTAATATGAATTAAACATTGTTAGTATCACTTCAATTTAAAAATAATTTCAAATGCATAATTGCATTTAATTTTAAAAATAAAATTCAGGTTACAGTTCCAGGCAGATTTGTAACACATGATTCAAATTGTAATTCACAGGTAACCCTCATAACACATAACATTAATAGGCAATAAAATATGTTCATACTTAGTATCATTCTGATAAGAGTTCGTACTGGTGAACTACACAAGGTCCAAGTTGCAAATGAACCCTACGACTCTACTGCCTGTAATATAGCTGGGATAATCCCCTCGGCTTATCCCTTCAAGCTGAGAGGAGGGCAGGACAATGGGGTGGAGCTGATCCCCTTAGGGTGGGAGAGGGACTGGGTCCAGTGATGCCAGCTAAGCTTGTGAAAGTGGATTACCCCCTGAGGTGACAAGGCTGTCTGCTGAGCCCTATTGTTTTACTAATGGTGTGAAACAACACACTGTCTAACTGTCATTGTGGCACTAACTGTGTGATTTTTACCACCCTTGCTTGTTTTTTCTGCATGTATTTGCTGAGTCTAGCTGTTTCCTCACACATTATGTCTAAAGCTGTGGGTTTATTTGATGATTGAATCCAATAAGTAAGCCTGATTGCGCTCCATTCTTTATCCAGACTGTATAGTGGCAGAACAAATATTGGCAGACAGCAATCTCCAATCTTTTGTTGGAAGTGTTAGCTGTTATTTTGTATCTTCATAGAGATACTGGATGATGATCAAAGAATTATTTTTCAAACCAAACCTTAACATTCAAACAACAAAAACTAGACATTTTGGACAAAAATCAGACATAGAACCAATGAAGTATTTTAATGACAAAATATCATAGAAACTTCCTCCTATATTTTTTAGGATAAAGAAACAAGAATAATTATACTTGCAATGTGTAATGTGGATTTAATCTCATATTCAAATTAAACTGACCATTGTATGGCTGCATTTGAACTGAGCTGAAAACATTATATGCTAATTTTCTGCCATATTGATCCGCTACCCAAGCTGCATGTAAGACAAACACAAGAGGGTGTGATATTAATGAATCAATAGTTCATCAAGTGTGCCTAAAATGAGTAATCCTGTATTGTAATTCTGTCAAATAAAACATGGCCATAACCACACTGACTCATATCTTACTCCAATCAGCCACACGCTCAAAATCAATAATGTGTATTTATCCTAATCAATTAAGTTCTCTCATATTTTTTCAGAAAATAATATCTTAAACTTTATTCTCTCCTGGGTCTTTAAAAATTACAAATATATTCACTGAATCAAGATTTAAGTATGCCAATAACATGTGGTGTTATTGAGAAAGTGTTGTGGTGCTATTGAGAGAAGGTGTTAGGATTCTGTATTGTTCTATACTGTGATAATATTGATGTTTCCCCATGTATCTGATGTTCTGTTGGTGTTTTAGCAGCACTTGTTACCTGCACACTGATCAAAGCACTCTGAGTCTTTGATCTGATGTGTAAGATCAACACGTTATTGTTGCCAATAAAAGACAATAAAGCAATTAAGCAAGTCTAATTAATAAACTCTCAATACCCTAATTAACCTACATCAAAGCTGAACACAAGCTTGGCACTGTTCTACAGACAAAATGATTACAATAGGTTTAAAATCCTTGCTTCAACTTTAACAATTTTCCATGTAGAGCATCAAAATCCAGCTGTTTTACTCAATATCATAAGCTGAGGAAATAGCAAAAATTTCACAAAAGTAAATGATCTTTTATTTCAAGAATTTGCAAAATTCTTTGCATAATATGTGCAAAAGGGAGTTAGTTGGTGTATGAGTGCTGCATTTTAACCAAAAGTATGAAATATGAAATTTCTGTAGACATTACTTTTGCTTTCAATGTTTTAGCCCAAGTGTTTCTGATGCATTGGGTATCAGTTTACTCAGCTGGCCATATCTTTTTCTTGTGGAGACTTTGCCAATTTGTCTTGTCAAGTCTGGTAACAGCATACTTCAATATCCCATCTCACAACAACTGGGAGATTCCTAACCAAATTTATGAATGCTTCAAGCTAATGCCAATGTTATACAACACTAGAGTAAACTCTATATATTTCTCACTGAAAGACTCGCAACTTATCAATCAGCAATTTTTATTTTAATGGTTCAAGCTTAACACAGCTGAGGCAAGATCGCTCAAGTAGTAAACCTATTCTCACCTCTACGAAGAGCTCTATTCAAAAGAGCCAGGGCATCAACAAATTGGGCACAGGTTTCCATCTTTGACACATCCATATCTATGACTGTCACGTATAGCACTAGACTGACATAGAGATCTCAACTCATCTTAACTTATATACCCTGTCAACCAGTATCTACACAGCCTTTCTCACTCAATCAGCTACCACAACACTACAAGCACCATCAGTACCAACTGGCTTCTCTGGAACAACACTGGCTTCACTACTCTGCAGGATTACCTGCTCGTTAAGCATCAAAGGCTTAACAAGGTTGAGGAGATGAGTTGTGTTCAGAAAAGACACTAGCTATGAAGGGAGATTACTGCCTGGCTTGGGTTGTTTTGTTGTCACAGTTGATTGAGTTGATCTTGAGATGGTCACACAACTGCAGTTATATGCTTACTCATGACCATGGAGTTTGGCCTCAACAATATTTATTTCCCAAAAATTGCCTGCAGGGAAGATAACATGTAAACCGAAACAAGAACATTTGCCCGAAGAAAGACAGAGCTCCACATAACATTTTGAGCAATTGAGTTTTTACTCTTGGTTTTCTATTTTATTTGGGTTATTACATTTTTCATTGGGTAACCAGTATTTTTGCACTCATCCATTCATCACTCTATACTCAATTGGGTTTTCCCCAAAACTAGTGAACATTTTAAGATTTAAAAAAAAATTAAATAATGTTTTAGATGTATATATAACTGTTCTAAATATATAGCCTTGACACAGAAAGTAAGTTAGCTCATAATTGTGTTTCGAAAATTAGCTCCTTTGTACGTATGCTGAAAAAGCTTCAATGGGTATTTACACATGCTGTTTTTATACATTTGAGTTCTTCATTTAATGCATGCATTTCTGTACACAAGTTAATTGTCAGTGGTAGACATTAATATAAAACTGCAAAGCAATATTTTTCAGTTTTTAAAACTCTTAAAGCAAATATTTGGAACCAGTTGTAGGCAATGATAACAATTATTAGGGACTTTCTCTTGAACTATTTTATTACTGGTCTTGAAAATGTGTGTTACCTTAATCAAATCCAATGCTTGCCTTTTCTTTCAAATGTATCATGAATTATAGAGGATAGACACTAAGTTTCTTGATCAGAGTTTTGTTAACCAATTAAACGTATGGTAAGCATACTTGTCCATGTCACTGTTAATACACATATTGTTTCGTGTTATTTCATACGAGGTGGTGAGGTGAAATAGGGTTTGACATCGCATTATTCACGATTACTTCACTTACATAGTGACGTGTGTGTGACTGCCTGTACTGGTCTGGACTCATTCTTGTTTTATAGTTTTAGCCCACTGAGATACCACAACACAGTTTAACATGGATACCCCCTCAAGATATTATACTGACTCAGAGCCAACCAATCCTTGTTTTATGCCCTTACTGTCGAGCACCAGGCAGGGTAACAACAAGTACCACATTTTTAACATCTTTTGGTATGACACGGCCAGGGAACTGAACCACATCAACACTTTATCCACTACACCACAGATGCGGTGTATCTCATTAATTGTCACTCTGGCCACTCTGTGGTCGCCACTGAGTTAAGGATGCTATACCCAGAAATCTGTATCAGTGGGAGTCAGCAGGTATAGTGCAGCTATGGGACGATCTCATATGGTGTATACTACTGCTGCTTGTTTGAATTTTGTTGGGGAGAGATATCTATATAGGCTCTGCCTGTTTATCAATCCCCTTTCACTGTACCAAGTGGAAATAAATATTGTTTAAAAACAAATATTGAGAATGCTATTCTGAAAAAGTTCTTCATAGCAATTAACACATCAGTAAGAATTCTACTCACAATCAAACCTGGATGTGGTAAGACTGGGCAAGCTCTGGGAGCTGGCGCTACGGCTGAGATCGGAGCCAACAGAACCGGGTAATGACGTGGTACTCTTGGATAAGTCAGCAGCGATCTCGCTCATACTCCGAGCACTTGGCAATGTTGCCTGCAACATAAAAGTTCATGACATAAACTTCATGTTAAGGTTGTAAAATATGTTCCATAAATCATGATTAATCGAACATCTGCCATTTCATTACATGGTGCAAGGTGTACCAAACCATAAAGCATAAAGCAGTGATTTGCCAGAAACCAATGGCTTAAGGACATTTGCTTGATTTTTTAAACTTTCTTCATTATCATTTCCCAATTTGAAAAAAATCTTTTGGACACATTGGATAACAATCAGTCAAATGTCCTAGAAAGTAAATCGATCTGAAACCCTGATATACAGGTTAACCTTGTCTCATTCTGTTTCATATCATGAAATAAAATATCTTATCCATTCAGATTTCTGCATATCACAGGCTAGTTCATGCAACATCTGGGGAAGCATATTACTCAATGACATCTTTACAGTGGCCATATTTCAAACACTTCAATTGCCAGAGATCAGAAGGCTGCATGGTCTCCAAGAATGAGGGATAACTAAACAGTATGTTCTGACTCTCTTCCAAACAATAGCAATACAAATAAGGACTCAGGACTGGGTTGGGAAAGAAGAGGGAGAGAATGGGATATCAGGACTGCAAGTTTTCCATCCAGAAAAACCCAACTTTCATGGTTTTTTTTGTTTGGTTTTTTTCAGATCAAGTAAATGTATAACTGAATCAAAAACACAGTGAAAACAATCCTGCAACACCTTACTCGAAAATACAAAACATTCCAAATCATCAGGAAGATTGTCCTACCTTGCTTTGTTTGCGATCGAGGTAGAACTGATGTTGCGCGACAGCCATTTGCCAGACACATTTTGTAAGTTGATGTGTTGCCGCGAACCATGCATGAACGTTGACGTTACCAGGGCCGAACGTTCTCCGGCTCACAGAGACCCTGAAGACAGAGCATGGCATGTTATATGTAGCTGAACATTCTATTAATTATCATGAAAATTATCCAGTCATGAATCAACAGTATCTTGTGAACATCACATATAGAGAAGATATTTACAGCATGAACAAATCAATGATGAGAATTCTTCTTACTATCTGTATAGTATTTACTACTAGAATTTCTTAATGGCTTAAACAGTCAACAGCAACAAATAGTTCTTATTGTCATATTAATACCACACAAATACAGATCTATTTTAGCTGTGGAACATATCTTTCTGCAGTTACAACAGAACTGAGTGAGTGAGTGAGTTGGGTTTATCGCCGCTTTTAACAGTATTCCAGTTATATCACCGCGTGTCAGCTTAATGTGGGATGAAAGCCCGAAGTGATGCAGGTCTCAGACCTTTACCACTTCGGTGAAACCCACGGGCACGGGTATGGTGCTGACAAACCTAGAAACATAATCGGGGGAACCGGGATTAGAACCCACAATCATAGGTTTCTGGTGTGCCCAAGGGACGCAACTCTGCACAGCGAATCGCGGCGCCTTAGACGACAGGGCCACCCATGCCCCCAACAACAAAACTGAAAGACAAAGGTATGTTGTCTTTCACAACATCAAGTGAATATATACCAAATGAAAAATCATATCCCATTATAAGTGATAACTATTCTACACCACGGGCAGGTAACTGTGCACAACAGGCAAACACAAATAACACAAAAAATAACACAAGCATACACAATCAAAACTAGAACACAAAGAAGATATATCTCTCACTTTGATACATGTTGGAAACAATCTAAGATTACTATTGCAGCTACAAGCACATATATATATATGCTTCAAGCAATATTGTCACAGTGGGATGATATCGGAATGTTTATGTGGATGTTGGAATGCTGCTGCAGGGATGAGAATGATGTCTGATTCAGCTGCTTTGTTGACCAAAGCAGGAGCTGAAACACCTATTGTAATCACGTAACTTAATTTAATCAACCCAGCTTTAGAAATTGGCACTAGTCCTGTAGTTCTTGCCAAACTGCCCAATGGTAAAGGTATCATAAGGACTAGTAGAAATGTGCCCTTTAAGGTTTTGCTGTATGTTATCATTATAAGGACTTGTGGACGAAAACTGTTAGTTTCAAACCCTGTGACAACCCTGATGAACAGTGAGAGGTTAAACTAATGTTTCTTTTAGAAGAAATTGAGTGGGTTTAACACCGCTTTGAACAATATTTCAGTTATATCATGGAAAGCCCAAAGTGATGCAGGTGTCAGATGTTTACCACCTTGGTGAAACCCACCAGCATGGTATGGTGCTGACAAACCTAGAAACAATCGTGTCTAACCGCTTCTTTTAGCATTATTCAAGCAATATCACATTGACGCCAAAAATGGACATACATTGTACACGGTAGATAGAACCTGAGAAAGTGCTTTAACCACCATGAGCCATGATCAAAAGCACCACTGAAACTATCCTCTCCATTCAAGGAAAATTTTTAACTAAACTTTCATTTTCAGAAGCATTAAAAATCCATTTCAACGACATGTTATTGAATTAATTTTCGATTTCAAAATCAAAATTTGAATATAAGTCTTCCCGAAGGGCATATCCATACAGAGACGTTAGACAGAAATTATTTCATGATGTGCATGATGTTTACAAGCAACCAAGGCTCCCTGGCTTTGTGCTGTTCCCAAGGCCAACCTGCTGCCGTGTCACATACTTACTGGGTGCTCGGGTCGGATATTGCATCCGAGAGGTCATCAAATTCTGTTAATGGTTCACGTATTGCGTCCTCATAAAGGTTGAAACTGCTCAACGTGTGGATGACACTAAATAGTCGGAACAAACATATCAGGTAAGCTGATGCACCAACATTCAAGATCTCAATTTTCCTGAAAATCTGGTCATCTATTCTATTTCATTTTTGCGTTCTAAACAAATAGGATTAAAAAATAATGTTTGTTTTTTAATGCCGAAGGAAGAGAGGCCTTTTCAACTTCACCAAAAATGTAAGGACAAAAAAACAAAAAATCCAAAAATCAATATACCATTTTTTGAATACTCACAGTCGTGGTTCAATTTAATAGGTCCTTTGAAATAAGTTTCAAAGGAAAAAGAAAAGTCATACCTGTTTCAACTTGAAAGAAGGTGCCTCTGAAATTCTATTTTTGTAAGAAAGATCACGAGCAAGTATTCCCCACGCCCTAGATTAGTTACTGCCATGACAACACACATGGATCCTAACAACCCATGCATTAACCCCACTTTTTCCAAGTCATTAACCCTTCAACCGCCAGTTATGTCCAAAATCCCATGAGTGGACATTAGAGCTTAACCTGTTGTTTCTGTAAATCATGCAAATGGGTTGCACTGTATCAGTCCTACATGCACAAAGACGTTGCTCTGATACGTTTTGAAATCACTCATCAATATTTGTTGTACTTTTGGATGTGTTTGCGAAGTTCTGTTAGTATGTAATGAAAGGTGCAAAGTTGCTAAGAAAATGAACAATCATAATTAATTTATTTAATCAAGTTTTGTATGTATTTTGAATGGTGAGATGCTAGGATGATTATGATGATGATTATGATGATGATAAATGAGGACAATAATGCCAATAGGGTTAAAGCAGAATGAAAAGGGTGATGAATCTGCTACTGGTAATAACTAGGATAAAATGGTACTGATAGTGATGATGGTGATGATGATGAAGGGACAGAGCATGCAGCCATGCACAGACAAAAGCAGAGCAGGCACTGCAAGTCAGGGTTTTTCCAATGGAACAATTCACATTCAATATGCAATCCTGCACAACTTCAAAGAGTTATCTCCCTTTGGTCACCATCTTGGACATCTTAAAAACTAGTCAAACTGACAAGATTCAAATATAATAGATCATGCAAAACTTGTCATCCAGTGAGCATGTGCATAAGAATGTGTTTTAGGTACAAACTGTGAGTAATTTTCAGAAGAAAAAATAATATTTGTCTCCTTCACCATGAAACCCAAATTCCCAAAAAGGAATGTTAGATGAAGGATGCAAACCAATCCTCCTCCTTTCAAGCTGGTTAGAAAGTGAACCCATTTTCATGTAGTTTGATATTAATTTGAATATTTTGTATCAATATGTAAGTCCTGAGGCACCTTCATTCAAATGAAGCAGGTTATGAAGTGATATAACGATAACATGGTCACCATTTCAAGGTTTAATTTCAAAAGTAAGTACGATGATTCGCCTTTGAAAAACTAACAACTGTACAGTCTCCTAAATTATGTTAAATTATTTTCCTCTTTTTGTATAAATCATCAATCGTTACAACCAGGATGTATTCTCTACCCCACCCCCACTCAGAACAAATGAAACATTCAATTCTAAATTCATGCAAACACAGAGATTCAAATTATAAGTGCACTATGTCTAGACAATTTATGGATGCATGACAGATGTATAATCAAATTAAAACCAAACAGGTAAATAAACCATGCTAGCTGGTTTAAGATACATCCGTGAAGTTACATGTGCAGTTGTGACTAGACACACAGTACGCAGGAATGAGGCGTCTTCCTCACAACATCAACACTTACCGTTTGGGATCATGCACTTCTATTGAGAACTTCTTGTCTCTATAATACAGGTTTTCTAGCTGTTTCCATGTGAATAACTGGAAAATATCAAAAATATCATGTGGCATATTTGAAATATGTCCACAGATTGTGTGGTATATCTGGAATATATCATAAATATCATGTGTCATTTCTGAAATATTTTCCAGATTCGCTGTATATTTGGATATATCATAAATATCATTGTCATTTCTGAAGTATATCCCAGATTGTGTGGTATATCTGGAATATATCATAAATATCATGTTGCATATTTGAAATATATCTCACAGATTGTGTGGTATATCTGGAATATATCATAAATATCATGTGTCATTTCTGAAATATTTCCCAGATTGTGTGGTATATCTGGAATATATCATAAATATCATGTTGCATATTTGAAATATATCTCACAGATTGTGTGGTATATCTGGAACATATCATAAATATCATGTGTCATTTCTGAAATATTTTCCAGATTCGCTGTATATTTGGATATATCATAAACATCATTGTCATTTCTGAAGTATATCCCAGATTGTGTGGTATATCTGGAATATATCATAAATATCATGTTGCATATTTGAAATATATCTCACAGATTGTGTGGTATATCTGGAATATATCATAAATATCATGTGTCATTTCTGAAATATTTCCCAGATTGTGTGGTATATCTGGAATATATCATAAATATCATGTTGCATATTTGAAATATATCTCACAGATTGTGTGGTATATCTGGAATATATCATAAATATCATGTGTCATTTCTGAAATATATCCCAGATTGTGTGGTATATCTGGAATATATCATAAATATCATGTTGCATATTTGAAATATATCTCACAGATTGTGTGGTATATCTGGAATATATCATAAATATCATGTGTCATTTCTGAAATATATCCCAGATTGTGTGGTATATCTGGAATATATCATAAATATCATGTGTCATTTCTGAAATATATCCCAGATTGTGTGGTATATCTGGAACATATCATAAATATCATGTCATTTCTGAAATATATCCCAGATTGTGTGGTATATCTGGAATATATCGTAAATATCATGTGTCATTTCTGAAATATATCCACCAGATCGTGTTGCATACCTGGAATATATTATAAAAGATGTGGTATGTTTCAAACATATCCCACTGAATGTGTGGTGCATCTGTAAAAAATCATAAATGTAATATGACATTTTTTGAATATATCCAACAGATAATGTGGCATACCTAAGATGTAGTAACACAGATCATATAACACACCTCTGTTCTGGAATTGGCAAAATGAGGAAATGTAGTGGATGGGTGTTTCTGGTTGTCAGTTTTTCTGACAGTTACAACTGACTTAACAACACTGACGTAGACACGTCTCTCAGTGCAAGGATCTCGGCAACAGTCCAAGGGAGATAACTCTCCTGTCTTACATGTTATCGGTGTCTGACAGTGGCAAAACAATATACCAGCTGACAAGCATGATGACAGGACCTGTCTCTGCCAACAAGAAGCTGCACGGGCAACAGTCCAAGGGAGATTACTCTCCTTTCTAACATGTCATGAGTACACCCACATCAGACACATAGCTCCCTCTTCATGCTTTGAGATCATGTTACAGGAAGTGCCCTCTTCATGAAGATCATTTCAGTCCACTTTCATTACTTGCAAAAAGTATGTTCTCCAGAAAGCATTAACCAGGAACAGAAGGTGCCACAGCGCTCAAGTTCCATTATCTCCAGGTGAAGGTTTCAACTTGACACTTCCTGTTCAAGCAAACTCCACAAAGTCACTGGACAAACTTTCTGGTCCTATTATTCAACCACCTGTGTTGAAGTAACTTGTTTCACTTGCAAACCAATCTCTGAAAAACCCCGCAGACAAACAGTTGCATCTGTTCATTTTAGACACAACACTTCCCAGTTTCTAACAGGACAGAGATGATGATGATGATGATGATGATGATGATGATGATGTCAGGAATGGAGCAAAACAACTCAGCAGCGACAGCCTGACTTTTCCATCTATGATCAAAACAGTCCAGCATGCCCAAGAGTAAATGAATGTTGTTTTACGCCTTTGTCAGCAGTATTCCATCAATGTCACTGTGTCATGTAGATAATGAAGTCTGCATCAGGCAAACCTGTTGCTGATAGCATGGTAAAAATGTCATCAGGTCATTGTGTCCCACGATCAGCCAAGTCACACATTGTAACCGCCTGACTCCTGTGAGTCAGCTCTAGGGACAAGAACCCATGAAGATCCAGGGTATATAGCTGGCGTATTGCTGAGTGCAGCGTTAAACAACAAACAACATCAACATCTGTTGACAAACACGGGTGGTACTAAGGAGGCCCGGCTAGTCTGTCTAAGAATCCTCACAGGTAGGAAAACATTAATGGACCTTACCTTTCTTGGCGTAGTCTTGTCGTTCTTGTCAAACACTGAGATCCCCTTTGGGCTGATACCCAACCACCATGGAATGTCTTTCTTGTCCTGGACACAAACAGTACATAATAACAACAACAACAACCACAATAACAACAACCATCATCATCAATAATTCCCCAAATCCACACCCTGAAGCATGCTCAAAGAGCTACCGGTTAACTTGGATTAGTGTCCTCTCGATTTTCATTCTCTCATGTAAATAAAAAACAAACAAAAAATGATTTGGAATTAAATTCATACATATAAGGTCAGAAAAAACAAACAAGTTTATACAAATCACTTTACATGCACCAGTCTATTTACATAACATTGTTGACGGTATTTAAATCTTACTGTGATATAAGGTCAGAATTACGTCACACTAGAAACAATGTGATATCTAAAGATTGTTGACGTCATTCGACAGTCATGGTTTTCTAAGATGGCATACGTCATCAGTGCATTTTTCAAAAGGGGAGCTCAAAAGGATTAAGAAACAATGGGTAATAAAGAAATTATAACACTTGCATCTGTGTCTTATTGAACTCGCTCTTGCTCGGGAAATACAAGAATTCTTACATTCATTTCTTAAAACCAGTATGACAAACATGCTATACACGTATACTAACCTCTAATGATTACATTTTCAACAAACTCACTTGTTCTGACATCAACAGCTAGAGTGAGTACAATCTCCAGCAGAGTGACTACTACTCAACATTCTGGCAAGATGAAGACTTACTATGCCTGCTGTTGTCAAGTTGAATACACAAAACATGCACCCAGAAAATGCTTCATACAAAAGAAACATTGATCCAAGATAAAATTCCTTACTTCAGTTGCAAGGGCAGATATTGTTGCACAAAAATATAGATTTTGTTTTTGTTGATAAACAAGCAGCTTACAAAAGAACAATTATTTGTTCCATATACATTGTTCATGTTGATTTATTGTGGAACAAAAACCTTGAAATGAATCTTTGTTTCCATGCATACTTACTTTGACTTCGTAGTAGTGTATACCGTATGTAGGAAGTCGTTCAACTATATTCATATAACTGAAAGAGAAAGACATTTTCTTTAGTGAAATAAATCTAAACATGACTAACGCTCCTACTAAAACAAGCAGCCAGTGCAAACTGAAACTATCACCAAACCACCCAAATAATTACCACTAACCTGATGCAAACTGAAACTATCACCAAACCACCCAAATAATTACCACTAACCTGATGCAAACTGAAACTATCACCAAACCACCCAAATAATTACCACTAACATGATGCAAACTGAAACTATCACCAAACCACCCAAATAATTACCACTAACATGATGCAAACTGAAACTATCACCAAACCACCCAAATAATTACCACTAACATGATGCAAACTGAAACTATCACCAAACCACCCAAATAATTACCACTAACATGATGCAAACTGAAACTATCACCAAACCGCCCAAATATTTACCACTAACATGATGCAAACTGAAACTATCACCAAACCACCCAAATATTTACCACTAACATGATGCAAACTGAAACTATCACCAAACCACCCAAATATTTACCACTAACATGATGCAAACTGAAACTATCACCAAACCACCCAAATATTTACCACTAACATGATGCTAGCTCGTAGACTGCAGCCAGCTACACAAGTGAATGTGAAGATTGCTTGTGGTTGTAGTTAGCAATCTTGCCGCTTCATAATGTCTGCTTGTGTCTGGTCATAACAAAACCAGTGGTCAACCATCCCAGTTCATTCCACACTGAGACCTACACCTGCCAGACCACAGAGTTGACTAGAGCTCCTTATAACTTTTTGAGCAATTGAGTTTTTACTCAAAAGTTTCTATTTTAATTGGGTTATTACATTTTTCATTGGGTAACCAATATTTTTTCACTCATCTGTTCATCACTCCATTGGGTTTTTCTCCAAATGTGTAATCATTTTGAGATTTAAAAAAAAATGAAATAATGTTTTACATGTATATGATGGTTCTAAATATAGGCTTGACTCGAAAGGTAAATTAGCTCATAATTGTGTTTCGGAAATTAGCTCCGTTGTACGCATGCTGAAAAAGCTTCATTGGGTATTTATGCATGCTGTTTTCAAACAATTGAGTTTTTCATTTAATGCATGCATTTCTGTACGCAAGTTAATTGAAAGTAATTGGGTTTTGAATGTTTGGTTTTTGTTTGTTTTTGTTGTTGTGGGTTGTGTTTTTTTTTTTTTTTTTGGGGGGGGGGATTTTTACACAAATACGCAGCTAATCTGTAGCTATGGTTGACCTTTGTTTTCAACATTAGAATTGGCACTAGTTCTATATAGTCCTTGCAAAATGCCCAATAAGGTATCATAAGGATTAGTAGAAATTTACTTTTTTAAGGGTTTTGCTATATGTTATCTATTAGGGACTTATGAACTAAAAATGATAGTTTCTACCGCCAGATTGTGGTCAACAATCAGAGTATAATCCAATTTCAGAAGTCATTGTGACCAACCAGTCCCCGGCCAAGTCAGCTTGAGATTATTCTGCCCAACATCCAAGAACACAACTTCCCCTTAACCACAGGTTTATTAACCCAACTTTAAACAATATACATATTCCAACCACTCTACAAGCTGTTATCACACTGTTCGCTCCAAAACAAGCCCGGAAGTCACCATTGATTCCGGTTTATTTTCATTTTCTGCTTTTCACAGCCAGTGCAACTGAAACTGAAGTGATCATGTCGCTCGAGACGTATTAGCTTTCAGGCTGTGACAATGATCCTCTAATTCTGTGCCATTATCCCTTGTCTAAGCTAGACCTACATCGATCAAGGTGATGAGCCGCTTTAATTACACAGCCTCACACCTCCAGCGGTCAGGAATAGCCCCTCTCGCATCCCGCCAGATGCAGCCACAGTGGTTCTCACACGAGATAGATCTCAGAGGTCCAGCACGATCACTCTCATGACTGCTTGAAGCACAATGGCCACAGGGAGTGTGCAGGAACTTTCGTTTAAAATACAGCATGGAAGTCCTTGAATACATGACACTTTTTATGGATAGCAACTTCTTTTGTTCTTTGTCACAACGTTTCAGAGCTACTTCTTGCTCCTTCTTCAGGTGAATGACATAAGCCTCATGTTAAAATCCAAAGGTTTAGGGGTCAAACACTTAGGCAAACCTAAAGGGCCCCAGGTACGCACAGGCACACAGGCACACACTCACGCGCGCGCACGCACGCACACGCACACATTTTATCTCCTGTTACAATCAATGGGGACCATTATGAAGTGATTTGTAATATCATAACTGAATATGTCTGAAGAACTTTTCACATCCATCATCTCCAGTTTCAACTGGAAGATCAATATTTGTGTGTCTCATGGTGCAATAGTGCAGGGTTTGTACTTCATGTGTTTCTCAGTTATCCGATGTTAAGAGTGAGTGAGTGAGTGAGTGAGTGAGTGAGTGAGTGAGTGAGTGAGTGAGTGAACGTCATTTGCTGCAGTCAGCAGTATTCAGGGATGCAACATTACTTGAAAAATTAACTAAAACACAAGGTCCAAAGCTTAAAATTAAATTATAAGTTTCACTAGTTCATATAAATGATCTACTATAGAGCTGCCACCTACCCAATATCAGTGTTAGAAATAAAAAAAAATGCCAGGCTGCCATCAGGACCCACAGACCTTAGAAGCTGCAGGTCCTGACTAAACTTTTCAGGCCCTCATTAAAAAAAACTGCAGCTCATTGTGACAAATAAACTGACACGCAAAGTTACTGCAGGCCATAAGGACCCCTACAAATTTGAAACTACAGACCTGACACGGGCTTATTGGCAGGCGCGTATTTCGAACACTGCCTAATGGTAAGTGTGGCTGACCACAAGGTTACTATCCGTTCCTCAATTTTATTAGCACTATAAAACTTGCAAATCCAGAACAAGTACACACTGCCACACACATGCATGCATGTTGATATGTCAGTACAATTAATCTTAAACCCCATTTCAACTTACTCACCACCTGAATTTCAATAGTCTCGGAGAAAAGACCGATGTTATGTTCGAACACTGCTGACATATTCTTTCATTACAAAAACAAACAACATGAACCAACATTTATCACCAAGGGTCATGAAAACCTATATATCATTTACAATATCCACCTCAGCTTCAGGAGGTCACTTGGTGGTGCAACATGATGTATGGTTTACAGAAACTCGGATGTTTTACATTCGCTCCTGGCCAGACAGATATTACAGCAGCAGCATCACAAAGTATCAAGAAAGTAGCCTTGCCCAAGGTCTGTCATCATCATTAGTTTCAGAGTTCACAGGCAGCCCTCTTGAGACAGAGCAAGTACTTCTATCTAGTACATCCTTCCTGTAACCCAGGACATCAAACAGGAGCCTATAAGCTTCCCTTCTACTTGACTGGGTCGTCTCAAGTCTTATGCTATAGACCAGTGATCCTTGGGAATTAATCCTGTTCGGTACAATGTCACACGGTTCATTTTGGTTGTCCGAAGTAGTTCTCTTACATTATCAACAACATATATACTACTTGGATCAAAACTTATTGCCTATCTTGACATACTAATTTTTGCATGTCTGGTGTGTTATATGAATTGTTGAAAAAACAACAACATAGATCTCTTCTCATATCCTTTTAAAACTATTTAGCCTGTTAAAAGACAATTAAATCTCCTTTCTCTTTAAAGCATCAACCAGAAGCAGTGTTTGAAACAAAAAATAATTGCGAGACTGCCATCAGGACCCACAGACTTTAGAAGCTGCAGGCCCTGACTAAACTCTTCAGGCCCTCATTTACAGAAATGCAGCTTATTGTGACAAATACATTGACATGACAAATACATTGACGTGACAAATACACTGACATGCAAATTTACTGCAGGCCATGAGGACCTATACAAATTTGAAACTCAGGCCAACACTAGATCCTCCTGCAACAGCCTTACAGGCAGGCCCTTATTTCATACACTGACCAGAAGTGGACACAGGCTGTGATGAGTATTAAAACTGGTTACCACCCAAATTGACTTTGAAAGTTTCGTTTTTACAGATATTCTATAAATAAAAGCGAGTATGGTTTTACGCCGCTTTTAGCAATATTCCAGCAATATCACAGTGGGGGACACCAGAAATGGGCTTTACACATTGTACCCAGGTGGGGGAATCGAACACGGGTCTTCGGCTTGACCAGCAAACTCTTAAATGACAAGGCTACCCAACCGTCTCTCTAAATAAAAGAGCTTTATTGACTAGGATACATGTTTACATGGATTTATTTCTAGCATTAAATGATTCACTACACAGTTCAAATTTCAAAAGTTGAACAAGCTACTTACTTGACTATGGCAAGACCTCTGGATGTCCCTTGTAGCTTCTGATAATAGCATAATATACGGTCCTCACTGCAACATAAAAAGCTCAGTCAGATATGATCATGTGACATTTACCACACAAAATCCTCTTGACTATAAATATCACACATTCATAAACATTCATGGTATGCAGGAGAAGGATGTCAGAGTCATCAAAAACCATGAAATCGCCATCACATCAACTTGATAACTTGAAAACTTGGCTATCAAAGCTGAAATTTCAAATTCATATTATCAAGCTTGTCCGTACATCATAAAACATCTACAAACTTTCTTTAGACTAACAGACGATGGATGGCAGACAGTACACTGTCATCGCATGAACTCAATTGGTCGATGACCAGTTGGGCTAAAAACGAACAACAAACCAGTTGCCAATTTTGCCATTAGTCTGGCACATTAGAAGTTAACTTCTGATCTCGTAAGATGAGAATATACCAGTCCATGAACTAAGACTAAAAATATACTGAAAATATAGCCAAAATACATGTTCAGGGCTGGTAACTCAAAAGAGTGTGACACAGACAGCATCCTCATCTGACTGACAATCCTGAACTCCGAAATCTAACAATCTGTCACAACTGAACTAAAATATACATCAGTAAAACCTACATCCAAAGAATGAGGTGTAGGATCCACTAACTGCCTAGGCAATTATGGGAGGCGGCGGCAGCAGCAGTTAGGCCCATCAGCATCTTTCTCTTCCTTCCCCTTGACACCCCCCCCCCCCCCCCCCCACACACACACACAGTGACCTACTTGGCAGTGATTCATTAAGGCAGTGGCAGCAATTGCTTCACATGAACATGTGACTGGGAATAGGTGGGAGGTGCTCTCTCTGAGTCATTGTCACAGGCACGGGACATACCTGTGGCCGATCTACAGAAGCACCTCACACACCACTAAATCTGACTGTTAGATCTTAAACAGCTCTCACTTGTTCAGGCCTCAAAGTATAAATTTTTACCAAGTCATATGGCTACAAGTAATTTTTCCAGGTAGCCAGTGGTAAAATCAAGAAGTCAAGCCAATATTGTAGGTAGCCAAAAGCATTTGAAACCTGATATCTTTATCAAATAACTATTATAATATGTACAAGTTACATATCATGTACCTCAAAGGGAAAAATAACGCAGAATAAATACTATGAAAAAATATCTCACTGACACAATTTCAACAAAACCATTTCAATGTCAAATTGAGAACTTTGCTGAATAAGCCTGACAGAACCTCTAGTCTGCTAATTAGACCCAACCCATAGTCCACATTTAGCTGCAGATGATAAAATATCTAAACATTAACTATGGAATAGAAAAAGTGAACACTGGAATTAACAGGTGACTGGTAGGAGGAGAGGACTCATGAAAAGTTCACTCCTACCAAATATATACTGAACAAAGGCTCGGGTGGTCTGAGTGAGTGAGTGAGTTGGGTTTTATACCCTCCTTAGAAATATTCCGGTGGTATCACCTTTGGGGATTCCCCTGCTGTTCCAATGTGGAGATTCAGACCACGAGACTTACCAGCTGCCCCATTCTGACAACATTAATGATGATAAACCAAACCAGCTCCTTCACCGACCCTCATACCTTCTCTCCCAGATCCTAGAGAATAAAATTGAAAAATGAGTCTAACTAAAGTCTGAACTGATTTGGCAAGTCTAGATTGCCTCAGCTGTTCTGGGCATTTGGATTTTATTTTCTTATTTTGCAGATATATAGTTTTAAATAAGATAACTTATTTCTTGGACAAAATGTCAGTCTACACCACTCACCACATTCAAATTTTCCCCACAGCCTGTCTCCCTCCAACCCCCATATAAATTTTCCTTGGGATAATAAAATCTTATTTTATCCACCACCCCTCCCCACATTCAGTTTGCCCACAGCCTCCCTCCCTCCCTCCCTCCCTCCACCACACACAAACCCACAGCTCTACCCAGCACCCACTGCCCTGGAACCCAGGCAGAGTTTCTTGAACAACCAGCATCTCCAACACATGGAGCTTGTCAGTGCTAATACAGGGAAGCCTCCTGACCAGGACAAATCAAGCTGAAACCCATCAGACCTGAGCCGGAGGATTACATGATGCTTGGATGCTGAGAGATACCCTTCCCTCCTTCTAGAATATCGCCTCATCAAGTGCTTCTCTCAGAAGAGATTTACTACAAAAAGTGAACACGCCCTGAACAATATTTGTTAAATGACAGACTGAAAAGTTGATATTACAGCCGTTTAAGATGTCTTTTGTCTCTTCAAACCAAAAGATAGCACTTTTTGAACGAAGGCTACTTACAGTTCTCAATTCCTTAACCAGGAACTGTTTCTTGCAGCTAAAATGCCAGTGTTTTGTCCACTTAAATTCCCTTAACATTTGACAACCGACACATGGTAAAGATGAAACGTGACTGTGTGGATGGGTGCACATGAAGCCTCATATATTTGTGGTTCCCACCCAGCTATCACAGCAAGACTATAACAGATTAGACCAGCATTTAATTACACAATACCCTTCTCGACTCTAAAAATATTTTTAAAAAATTCCCCATGCTGATTTCAAATTGGAATAGAGCTGGTTAGAGCTGGCTAGACTTGCTTTTGTATACGTTTCTAGATTATTTTTCTTTTCTTTTTCAAAAAATAAATATATTCGACAGTCATGGTGTAGGACTAATAACAGACATGCAAAACCCTACTCACAAATGATAAAGTGTTCTGTTGAAAAATGGCTACAACCTCCAACAATGGTTAATCATTTAAGACAAGGCCGCCCTTGCTGTCACCAACCTCCAACCTAAGGCACCATTTATTATGTATGAGGCCAGCATGGTTGTAACACAAACCTAAATAATTCACAACCAACACAGGGAGACTGTTCACCTCACCTGGCCCCGATCTCATTTTCTACCCTCTGACCCAGAAATGACCCCAAACATTGATGAGTGACCCAGTTCCACAATTTCATGAAAGGTCCATGACATCTGAACACTTACACCATTTTTCATATCCTAAACTTCACTTCTCTATCTCAATCAGAAAATAACCATAAAATGTTGCCTTGATAAACATACAAATTGTACTGACAAAGTTTAACATATTCAATTACCCTTGGCGTTTCAATTCCATTTCTGTCCCAATCCCTCACCCTGTATCTTTCTTATCTGTTTCTGGCAGTATGTGGTGAGATGAAGTCATTAAAACAGAACCCAACAGTTGTTCCGAAAGCAATGCATGCAATCTACTCCAGACACTGATGACCCAAATATTTTCCAATGCATTAAAGAATTACTGCATTCAAACATCTACAATTTCAAAGCTGAATATTCGCGATAGAAATTAATCTTGAAAATATCCCACAAGTGATAACATGTTAGAAAAACTCTAAAACATGTGACATTCTACCCTTGGAATAACTTTAACATAAGGCCAACAGACCCATGCTGATCCCTATCCAGGAAAACCATGGCAACAAAAGAAGCATCATTCAAGATGAAGTCTTTTGTCAAATAAATTTGCTGACAAATCATTTGGAAAAGGAAAAAGAATGCACATGTAACATTATCAAGACAAAGCCAGTGTTTTATGATCTTGTCTGGAAGACATGAATTTCAAAGTGACATTTTACAGCACACAGCAATGTCACTGGTTGCTGGAACTGCAATAAATCACCATCCTGCAACTTTTGGACGACAAAAACAGTCCCTGACAGGACATACAGAACCAGGTTCAGTTCCCTTGAAGAGTTCACCAAGACAGTTTCAGCAGTGCAAATCTGTATATCAAATGTTTTGGAATGCTCAAGTAGGCGTAAATTCTCAAAGAAACATGCAAAGGTCAAACACCAAATCTTACTGACAAAAATGCCACTAAATTCAGGGGAAATTTGCAAGGCGAAAAAGATCCTAAACCGATACCGCCCCAAGGCCATCAACCTGTACTACCTAATTGACATTCTTCCACTTCAATTGCATGCAAGCAACAATTCGAAACCAATAAAAAAGTCAGTGAGTTGTTCAAGAACAGGTTGAAACAACACAGACTAGGAACCCACAACACTAAATTCTGTGTCAATCTGGATGGAAATAGAGCACAAACAACATCTCGCCCACAAAGCTGGAGTGTTACTTAATCCAATATCACTTCTTTCATCAGGGTTATTTTGAGCCAGGTATATAGATCTCATTCCCAGAGCTGTAATACAGGCACTTGCTGGGACAGATCCTAGAAGCAAGCTTGATGATGATACCTGATGGAGACAACCACTTGCTGTGTGTTCCCCACAATCATAGCATTAGTCTATTAACCTTCAATCAACCTCTAGAACACTGATACCAGTTTGTTCTCAGTTAACCTGGGTAACTGTAATCTCAATATATCCAGGCTGGGTTTGCACACATTCTCATTACCTTAACTGATTGTTACTATCACCGTGCATCTTTCAGTCAAATCTAAATGTTCCTCTTAAGTGGCACTATGTGTTCTTCCATATGGAACATAATCACACTCTATTATCGTAAATTTTCGAAGCAGATATCCCACACACAAAAAAGAGTCAGAAAAACACTGACTGCTTGCCTGTCAGTATGACATTTATTTCTCACTACTCGCATTTCATAAGCATTTTTTAGCATGAAACTTTCAATTATACTAAAAATCATTGTCGTTCCTGGCTGAATTATATGAGAAATGTTTATACTCCAAACTTTCATTTTGTGATGGCAGTTAGATGCTCAAAGAGTATGATGATCAGACCTCATGCAACAGGTGACGAAGGACAGGACAATCGTGTTACCAAACTCCTTGCTGGATGCGATCTTGAATAATGCATTATCCACTAACACCTTCTCACTGAAACAATATTGACCCACAAAGCAACATTCACTACTCACCCTTCTTGATGAATGCACCCAGTATAACTCCAATCATATCCTTCTTTCCGATCTCACATGACACCTTCTCACGGAACACAATCATGAAGAGTCCAAACCAAAACCAAGCTCTTACTTGTTCTCCAATTTCCTGCAAATATCC